CCTCCAAATAAGTTTAGAGACAGCAAAAAATTATCCTTTTGTTTGCGGTCTTTAAACTCATTTGGCGACCAGAAATCCCTTAAATGAGTCTATCAGAATCTTTTCCAATCAATCCGAGGGCTCCAACTACATCTGGGATTATTGATGTCTTCATGTGCAACAGCGATTTCCATATCAAGTTCCTTGTATTTCGATAATTTTTTGAAGATCTTCAAATATACATTAACATCTGCAGGGACTCTCATGTCAATAAGAAAGCACATTCTGTTTTTGTGGTCTTTGATTGTTCACTCTGCGTGTACAGTAAAGTACCGTAAAATTGTTATCAGGTTTTATCACTATAAACGGGTCTGGGTGATGTTCAGACCAGTTTATTGCAGTTTCCTTTCCGCCCAAGTTGCATATTTTTCCGGTGCAGATATTGGCCCAGTATCATGGCGAATTTTATATTCAGTGGCTGCAACTTGATACATTAAGATATTAATTGGTGAAGATGCTATTCTTCTTATTCCTTCTTCTTCTTCTTCTTCTTCTTCTTCTTCTTATTATTATTATTATTATTTTCTTTGATTTCTGGCGTTTACACATTTGTTTCCGGGTCCCTCCCAGGGACCTAAGGTTAGAAATGGTATCATGACACTTTCCACTGACAAAAAAAAAAAAAAAAAAAAAATTACATAGATAAAGCCCTTCGTAAAGTGTGGGCTGTACTTGTCAGAACAATTTTTTTGTATCTCCTTGAGGCATGGACTTCCAGGAATCTCTTCAATTAGTCTACTGCAATATCATCATCATCATCATCATCATCATTATTATTATTATTATTATTATTATTATTATTAGAAGAAGAAGAAGAAGAAGAAGAAGAATGCCCCAAAGCGAAAAGCTAATATATTGACAACATTGGTTTGTTAAACTTTTATTTTTAAGTTTTTTTTGGTTTTTTTTCTATTTGCGTGTTGATGATGATATTTTTTTTGGTCCTTATTTTTCGCTTTCTTAATTACTGTTCTTTTATTGTTCTCTCACTTAATATTGTGTTTTTCTCATGTTCTCTTACACTCGATAAACCATTGCATCTCAGTGGCTTTATTGCCTTGCTTGGGGTGAAATGATTAACAAATAAATAGTAGGTTTAATTTGGCTATTTTTGTCGTTAGGTGATATGCCTCTACGCATTACACTTCTATATATATGTAAAGAGGGAGAGCAAAAAGATAGATATATAAATTAGTTTGTGGCCTAATGATGAAAAATGCCAAGCCAAAAATATTTTCCTTGTTATTACAGATAATTCAGTGGTTCATATTAAGGGGAGTACAGACATTTTCCCCAATTTTCATTGTCCCAAGCGATTTCGGCCACTTCTTTAGCCATTTTGAAAGAATTTGCTTTCTGTGTTGTTACTTTTTCCTCATGTTTTGGCTGCATTTTATCTTTGTACTGTTTTTTATAGGGTCATTTATTCCGAACATTTGCGTTTTGTGCACGTCTTGAACAAAGCTGAACAAGTGGCCGAAAGCGCTTGGAGCAATGAACATCATGGAAAATTACTGTACTCCCTGACTCATAAAAAAACGGAAAAAACGTAAGGATGATGGAAAAACTAGATAAAAACGTAATTAAATCTTCTTTGTCTTCCATATTTAATAAATGATGTTTAAGAAAAAAAATGTTGATGCTCAAATATACATTAATGTGTGTGTGTGTGTGTGTGTGTGTGTGTGTGTGTGTGTGTGTGTGTGTGTGTGTGTGTGTGTGTGTGTGTGTGTTGTGTGTGTGTGCGTGTGTGTGTGCTGGAAGGGAGAAAGCGGTGGGAGACCACCAATCACAGTTGTGGTATTAGGTCGAAAGTTAATTAAAACATTCTTTATAAAGACAAATATATTGATGGTAGAAAACGTCACACTTCTAAATTTGTGAATATTCTTCTCCAGAAAAAAATATTTGCTCAATTTATCAGCTTTTTGAGAGAAAGAATAAGAGCCAAGTTTGGTCCAAGTTAGTGCAATTGGGGGACAAAAATAATATTCTCCGTATTTATTTGTTTCTGCTTGTTGAATAGAAATCACAGCCTGCTTATCAACATTCGAAATCGATTTTTAGTGAGTTTGATTGTCAAAGAAGTTCTCGATATTCCGACCTTGTACCAGACTTAATAAACATGTCAGCGACAATTTTATCTTTTCGTTATCTTTTTTTTTTTCCTTTCGTGGAATCTCATTTTCAGTGAACAATTTTGTCTCGCGTGAAAGCGAGATTATGGTAGTCTTTGAAATGTCAAAATGAAAACTTCATTTTTATATAAGGCTTTTCGAAATGATTTAAACTGTAAGGCCGAATCGGAATTGCAAAACGCTTTCGAACAAATAAAGAGACAAAGAAAAATGATATCCTGTAAAAGACGACACCAACACTTTTCTAGTAAATAAGATCACGAGCAGTTAAAGGAATGAAGGTAATAGACTCTTCTATGTGTTATAATACCGTCCTTATCTCTTTCGTTGTCACCTGGCACTTGTGAAAGACTTTTGGCTCACCATCAAGTCACGTTGAAAGCTCCAGTACGCATAGGATTAGAGAAATCAAGCAGCGGTGAATTTGCGCAATACTTAGATAACATGGTTTCCATTTCACGAAAAAAAAAAAGTTTTTTTTCTAATATTGCAATGTCTCCCGTACTGGTTGCGGGGGATTTTGAATAATCCCCCGATCTGTGCTAATGGATTTATAAAATCTATACCCATTAGCGACTGTACCTTTATAGTTCACAAGACCTGACCCGACGAAAAGTAACATGAAACCTGTTTGCATTGATAAATTACTGTGATCGTACTAGAAACGGTATTTCAATATGATATGACCGTAAGCCTTACCACCTGCAGATCCAAGCTTACAGCACCTAGTATTCCCAAGCAATCACCTATGACTGACCAGGCTAGACGTTGCTTAACTTCGGTGATTGTACAAGAGCCGGTGTTTCAACGTGATATGACCGTAAATCACACCACTCGCACATCCAAGCCTATTGTTGCACCATTTACGAGGCAGAAAAGGAAAAGAAAGAAAAGAAGGCAGAAAGAAAGGCGAGACGAATCGTGGGTGATCAGCAGAACACACACACACGGCTAAGTGACAATGAATATATTGATAAGTAACAAATGGCGAAAGGGTGTCATTACAATGACAGGGAAATTCTGAGTAAAAAGAAAGGGAAAGAAAGAAAGAATCAGATGTGTTTTGATAACGGCTGTGTTATCTGGGAGTACGTAAACAAACTGCTGGTCGACTGGCCAAAGAAAAATTCAAGTGGAAATGTTATTTCGATAAGTGACGAAAAACAGGGACTTTGGAGATATGGAAAAATTAATCGCGACACACACGAAGTAACTACACTGACCGATTTTCTTGCCGCAGAACATCTTTGGCCTACGATAATAAAATTATGTTATCAGAAATATGTACCGAAAGAAAATGAATGGGGACCCAGAAGTGTTTTTTCTTCTTGCTTCGAGGCGACAGACTGACTGAAACTTTGGAGATGTTTCTTTTTTTGAGGCCGTGTTAAGAAGACCACCCATTCTGATAATTAGCGATAAAATACCTGACAAAAACCACGTGTAGAACAAGAGTTATATTGTCCCGTTTGCAGCTAGGGAAATGTTAACGGCGATTAAGAGGAAGAAAAAGGAAAAGAAGGGATAATTTCTTTTTAGTTAAGCAAGATATTTTTTTTTCTTCCTGAAACAAAGCCGGGGATTCGTCCACGCCGACTAAGACATCATTGGTCAAGTGGTGATCACGTGACGCACGAAGGAGGAGGAAACATAATTTTTTTTTTGGGGGGGGGTTAAGCAAGATATTTTTTCTTCCTGAAACAAAGCCGCGGATTCGTCCACGCCCGACTGAGACATCATTGGTCAAGTGGTGATCACGTGACGCACGAAAGAGGCTGTCGACGCCTCATCCAGAGTATAGGTATGAGAAGCTGCTACGAAGAAGTGAGGAGGCAGTTCACGCCCTCTGAAGTATGGAGAGAGAGGTGGGAGAGAAAAGGTTCCCAAAATGGAAAAGAGTGGAAAATCCCTAACCAGAAATAAAAGAGGTGGATATGTATTTAGAATTATCGAGGAACCCCCCGACGCCGACAGACCCAACCCGGTTTTGGTCGGCGTCCATAAAAAAAGCCCCTACGAGCAGAAATCAGTTCGGGCTCCAGCAGTTTCCAGAGTTGAGTTCCAGCAGTTCCAGTGAGTTCAGCTGACCAAGATTCACGCAAATTCGGACTCCTCTTCAACCCAAGAACAATTATTTTGAAGAGCGACTTAGATCCAGACCACCGAAATAAGTTTTTTTTCGACTTTCGTCCAAAGACACACCGAAACACCAATTTCTTAGAGAGCAAACAACTTGAAGCGTTAAAACTTGCGTAACGGAAAACGACGTGTCACAATCCACAGAACGGGTCGGGAGATAGATGCAGTCCTATATATCGAACAACTAGACATAAAGTTTGTTACCTTTTTCTTTGATACTTTGAATTTTTTGAGTTTTCATTTTCTTTTCTTTTATGCATATTTGTGTGGTATCACCCCCGTTGAACTCAGTTTGCATTACGGCCCCAACCACTGTTTGATCTCGTTTGCCTAAGATCAATTCACAACGTGGGTAGGCGACTGGGGATCAATGCAGTTACCTTGGTAACCAGGCGTTGGAAGCGAGTTGGGAATGACGAGGCTGATATCAAATCTAACCAGATTCCCACCCGAATCACCAAAAGGTTAGAACGTCACATTTGGGTGCTGCGACCGATACCAAGCCAGTTGGTCGTCACAGGACGAGACAACACGACTGACGCGACAGGCGGACGTCACGTTTGGAGCAGCGACACCCGAACGGAGCAGCGAGGAGCGAACGGCTGGCGCCGCGGCGAGGACGTCACAATTGGTGCTGTTTAGGGAATAGAATAGAACGTCACAGTTGGCGGTGCGACCAGGGGACTATAGCACTTGATATTCCCGTGCGGTCACTCATCAAGGTACTGACCAGGTTCGACGTTGCTTAACTTCGGTGGTCGTACAATTGCGGGTGTTTCAACGTGATATGATGGTAAACAACACCACTCGCACATCCAATCTTATAGCACTTGATATTCCCGAGCGGTCACTCATCAAGGAACTGACCAGGCTCGATGTTGCTTAACTTTGGTGATTGTGCAAGAACTGGTGTTTCAACATGATATGGGTGTAAGCCACACGACCCGCACATCCAAGCTTAGAGTAGCTGGTGTTCACAAGCTGCTACTCATCTGGGTTCTGATATCAGGGTTGACGTTGCTTCTCTTCGGTGACCGTAAGAAAACCGGTGTTTCAATGTGACATGGCCTTAAGCCATACCACTCACACATCCAAGTTTATTAATATTGTCGTTATTGTTCCGCAACCACATTAGCGAAATTCGTACATTTAAAGCAACGATCATTAAAAATAATAGACACAAAATGTGTATAGTGTCTTTTATTAAAAGAACAATTGCTACTCAAATATACTTTATATATATATATATATATATATATATATATATATATATATATATATAAAAGTGGGGGTTGAACAAACACAAATGTGCCTGAGTGAGAGTCTTCAATAGGGATTGGCTAGACACCTTAGTAGACGGGTATTCTTGAATACGAATGGCCCAAGTATTATATATATATATATAATTTATTTTAGGATATTACATCAAAAACACGTGAAAAACGCTACACAAATGCAATCATGTATCAATGTGCATTAACACCTCTCATCAGGGGTTAGTAAATAACTGGTTAGTAGATAATTTATTGAGACTTTATACCACATACAACCTCTTTTCACAAGAAAACGAAGAAAAGAAAAAGTGTAAGAAAGAAAGACACAAGATATAATCTCTTTTCTCGAGAAGAAAGAAAAATAAGGGAAAATAGTAATAAAGAAAGAGAAGATAGCAGCAGAATTTATAATTTCTTATGTTTATAATCGAATCCACCAATCAAAGTGGCCTCCGATAAGTTCTCATTTCATATATATATATATATATATATATATATATATATATATAGTTAAATTCCCAGATGAATTCTGTGGACAGGACAGATTGGTATCAAATGACAATTGGAAAAAAATCTTACATTTCGCCGACGCGTTTCGTCTTTCGTCTTCCGACTTTTTCAAGGCAAAAATGAAATCGAAATGTTTTTGTTGTTATAGTTACATTAAAATTAAAAAATAAAAGATAGACGCCAGAAAAATGCTTAGACACAAGCGTCTATCTTTTTAATTTTGAATTTTAATGTAACTATAACAACAAAAAACATTTCATTTATTTTTTGCCTTGAAAAGTCGGAAGACGAAACGCGTCGGCGAAATGTAAGATTTTTTTTCCAATTGTTATATATATATATATATTTATATATATATATATATATATATATATATATATATATATATATATATATATATATATATATATGTGTGTGTGTGTGTGTGTGTGTCTGTGTATGTCGCGTGCGTGCATGTGTCTGTGGATAGTGTACTTAAAAGTGTCTTCTCTAGAAATGTTAAAACTGATTAACTGTGGAAATATTTTCCTCCCGAAGAGAAACGTTTCAAATGGTTGTGTTATTAATAACATTTTTTAAGAAAGCTCTATAAACAAATAAAATATCTATACTTCCATGTATACAATAAATCTTCTACATCTTTATACGTACAATTAGAGGTTCAAACCTTTTAGTGTCCGACCAATTAAGCCATACCTCATCCACCTCCGAAAATGCCATTGTCAGTTTTGACAGTGACATTTTCAGCACTCCCTGGACATATGTGACAGCTGTGGGTGTTCTGTGTATGTGTTTCTGTGTGTGTGCGTGTTTGTGTTACGTGAGTGTCACTCTGTGTGTACTGATTGTAAATGCGAAATCTAATGGTACGATGTGGTCATCGATGACATATATATATATATATATATATATATATATATATATTGATATTTGAACTCGTTTGGGAGAGAAATAGAGTTTTCATAGTAATACCTGTCTGCTCTCGAATACACTACGATACGATCTATTGGGAGAAGTAGATTCATGCCTCAAAAGGATACATACATACACATATGCATGAACTTTTGCACGCTCTCACACATCTGTTTTAAATTAAAATCAACTCGATTTTAACTATGGTGCATTAATTTAGGAATTATTATTTTCCACCATTTTTTAGTCACTAAGACTTGAATTTTTTTCAGAGTAGAACAGTAACGCATGATATCAGGAATAAGATTCATTAAATTAATACATCAGAATATGTATTCCTTAGAATGGTTAGTAAAGGGTGTTCTAATAACTTGGACTGATTTTAGATGTGAATTAAGTTAAAGTGTCTTTTTCTTTCAGATTTAACAAATTAAGTCTTTGGCAATTTCAACCATGGAAAGATTAACAATCAAACAACGTGTTAAAGTTATCGAAGCCTATTACGAATATGGACGTTCAAACAGAAATGCATTTCGCGCACTTCACGATTTTTTGGGTCAACATAATCGACCAACGTAGAGTGCGATTGGAAACGATGTAACGTTGTTGTGGAGAGGATCAGTTCCTGCGCGCGATGACGAATAGGGGTGTCTGGATTTTCGGCCACATTCTCGTGCACTGCAGCAATGTTTTCAACTGAACGGCGTAAACGAGCACGCAATGGTGTTTTCACATCTGCCACCGACGCAGTTTGAATTTACGAAGAATTTTTCAAATGACACTCTTGAAACTTTGACACGTTGTTTGATTGTTAATCTTTCCATGGTTGAAATTGCCAAGGACTTAAGTTGTTAAATCTGAAATAAAAAGAAAAAAAATCATTAGACGCTTAAACTTAATTCACATTTAAAATCGGTCCAAGTTATTGGAACACCCTTTAGTAGGCATCCGTTTATCTCGCAAGTTAAAGGTAGCGCTCTGTTTGGTCAAAATTCATTTTTTTAGTAGTGAGATTGGAGTGACCTCTCCAGGGCGTGTTATATAGAGGCCGTGCGTTGCCAAGATTACATGGCTCCATTCTCTCCGTATCAGTAAGATCCAAAGGAATACAGGGCATTGCATTTTGGGATGTATTGGCTGCAGGAACTGCCGGAAAAGTGGTCAGAGCCAAGAACCTTCGGGGTTCCACCCTGGGTTTTCTCTCTGGATTTATTTCATATAACATTTTTCGTGTTTGGTTGAGTATGAGTTCAAAAGGCAGCAGAGGTTCCTGGTCTGTCGAACAGTATCTACCCAAAGAAACTAGTTAAGAGAAGCCAGTTGTTCGCCTTCGTCCATTCTCCGGCTTGGAGATGGACTTGTCAGAGTTGTCAGATGATATTCGAAACGCATGTAACAGAAGCATTTTATAGACCATGGGATCTTGTCTCTATTATTTCGCCGTCTAATGATTGCGTAAACAATCATTCAACAATTATTAAAATCATATATGGAAAGTAATCCAGTGTCAGCGTTTTCATAATGATTCAGTCAATGAGCAAATATAATGATTATAATTTTAATTGCAAAAAAAAAATGTATTGTTGTCACTGGTAACACAGTGTCGACATTTAAGTTTCTGCGAAAATCCCTAAGTAACTTTTGTTTGAAAGAAATTTAAACAAAAGAAAATGTGTCATTCCGATGTTATCCAGTCCTAGCGACTTGTGATAGTTATTCACAGATTATTATGGAGATTTAATTAGCGTAGCTTAGATATAGCACAAGGACATAATTATGGGGCACCCAGTGAGGACCGAACTCACAACTCATTTATAACTGATCTAGTGAGATTCGTTAGCTAACCATTACAGCGCATCTATATATCGCTTATACTGAAAAAAATCTATTTAAATGAATTACAATCACTAAAATATCATTCACGCCTAATAATTCTATTTGATAATATTATTAGTACATTTATTTAATGTGGCACAAGGCCGATAGTATGTGGGCACCAAGACAAGATTGCTAACCATTATGCCAGATCGAAGTACCAAATGGTTTTCTAAACGTAGCTTAGATGTATCATAAGAAGTACCTAGTGAGGATCGAACTCACTACTCAGTCGTAATTGATCTAGCAAAGCAAGCATGCTGACCATTATACCACGTCGAAGGACCCAGTTTTAAATCTATATGTTATGAATGGAAAAGTAGTGGATTGTCAGTGGTCAGGAATTCATGCAATAAGGTTATAAAATATAATGAAAATGCATTGCTAATGATTTACGAAAGAAAAAACAAGAGAAAAAAAATGTAAATGGTCTACAATAATGCAAGCCTTGCAGAAAAATGTCTGGATGTTTAATGCAGATGCATTGTATATTATTATCTCTATCTATAAAAGGCAGGATGTGTGTGTAAAGAATGCACGGTCGCAATTTTCGACGGATTTGCACCAGAATTTACATGCACATGCACCAAGTTAGTGGGAAGGCCAAGACCGACTTTGCATTTCCCAACTCCCATCGATAGTGGAAATAATCGATTTTTTCATGCTTCTACGGAAGTTTTCATGTAGTTTGCGAACATTTTTTACTGGCCAGAATGAGAGCCTATAGCTGGCTGCCACGAATAGGCAGGAAGATTCTATTGGCCAGCGTGAGAGTCAACAGCTGACTGACACGAATGTTAACTAGCATGCTAGCATGCAAAAAAATCGGTAGCTTCATTCGTCACAATTGGGAAAAATTTAAATCTGCATGGCACTTTACTCCAATTGACTCATTCGCTTGCTTAAACTCAACGTTGATTCTGATTCCGCAGAACTGGGTTTGGGTGTGAAAAAGTATTTGTTGTTAACATTTTTTTTTCATTCGGTTTTTCCAGTTACGAGTCCTTTTTTAAAGCTGATCGTTTTGTGTTCATTTTGTTTAGTTCTTTTTTCGTAACAGATTTAATGTTTAGTATAGAGCTTAGAAAAAATTCGCAGTGTGAGATAGGCAAGAAATAAGGCATGTAGCAACATCAGCACGGAAAAGGGCACTCCTTTAAAGGCAAGGAAGGGCAAAAATATTTTAAGTCAAGTGATAGCGATTGCTGTATGAGTCGTACG